CCACTACCATCAACACTAGAGCCACAACCACTACTACATCACCTACCATCAACACTACAGACACAACACCTACCACATCCACTACCATCAACACTAGAGCCACAACCATCATCATATCCAATACAATCAACATTAGAGCCACGACCACTACCACATCCACTACCATCAACACAAGAGCCACAACCACTACCACATCCACTACCATCAACACTAAAGCCACAACCATCATCATATCCAATACAATCAACACTAGAGCCACGACCACTACCACATCCACTACCATCAACACTAGAGCCACAACCACTACCACATCACCTACCATCAACACTAGAGACACAACACCTACCACATCCACTACCATCAACACTAGAGCCTGAACCTTCATCACATCCAATACCACCAACACTTTAGAGCCACAATCACTACCACATCCACTACCATCAACACAAGAGCTACAACCCCTACCACACCCACTACCATCAACACTAGAGCCACAACCACTACCACATCCACTACCATCAACACTATAGCCACAACCACTACCACATCCACTACCACTCAACACTAGAGCCACAACCATCATCGTCACATCCACTACCATCAACACAAGAGCCAACAACCACTACCACATCCACTACCATCAACACTAGAGCCACAACCATCGTCACATCCACTACCATCAACACAAGAGCCACAACCACTACCACATCCACTACACCACCAACACTAGAGCCACAACTATCATCACATCCACTACCATCAACTACTAGAGCCACAAACCATCATCACATCCACTGCAGTCAACACTAGATTCACAACAACTACCACATCCACTACCATCAACACTACTAGAGCCACAACCATCATCACATCCAATACAATCAACATTAGAGCCAATGATCACTACCACATCCACTACCATCAACACTAGAGCCACAACCACTACCACATCCATTACCATCAACACTAGAGCCCCAAATCATCCTCACATCTACTACCATCAACACTAGAGCCATAACCACTACCACATCCACTACCATCAACACTAGAGCCACAACACCTACCATCCACTCCACCACCATCAACACTAGAGCTACAACCATCATCATACATTCATACTACCATCAACACAAGAGCCACAACCACTACCACATCCACTACCACCAACACTAGAGCCACAACCACTGCCACATCCACTACCATCAACACTAGAGCCACTGACCACTACCACACCCACTACCACCATCAACACTAGAGCCACAACTATCATCACATCTACTAACATCAACACTAGAGCTACAACTATCATCGCATCCACTACCATCAACACTAGAGCCACAACCATCATCACATCCACTACCATCAACACTTGAGCCACAACCACTACCACATCCACTACCATCAAACACTAGAGCCACGACCACTACCACACACACCACCACCATCAACACTAGAGCCACAACTATCATCACATCTACTACCATCAACACTAGAGCCACAACTATCATCACATCCACTACCATCAAACACTAGAGCCACAAACATCATCACATCCACTTCCCATCAACACTAGAGCCACAACTATCATCACATCCACTACCATCAACACTAGAGCCACAACCATCATCACATCCACTACTATCAACACTAGAGCCATAACTATCATCACATCCACTACTATCAACACTAGAGCCACAAACTATCATCACATCCACTACCATCAACACTAGAGCCACAACCATCATCACATCCACTTCCATCAACACTAGAGCCACAACCATCATCACATCCACTTCCATCAACACTAGAGCCACAACCATAACAGTATCTGCTCCTACAAAAGCACAACTAAAACCATCATCACATCCACTACCATCAACACTAGAGCCACAACCATCATCACATCCACTTCCATCAACACTAGAGCCACACCACTCACTACATCCTTTTACCGTCAACACTAAAGCCACGATCATCATCACATCCACTTCCATCAACACTTGAGCCACAACCATAACAGTATCTGCTCCCACAAAAGCACAACTAAAACCATCATCACATCCACTACCATCAACACTAGAGCCACAACCATCATCACATCCACTTCCATCAACACTAGAGCTACAACCACTACCACATCCTTTACCGTCAACACTAGAGGCACGATCATCATCACATCCACTATAATCAACACTAGAGCCACAACTATCATCACATCCACTACTATCAACACTAGAGCCACAAACCATCATCACATCCACTTCCATCAAACACTAGAGCCACAACCATCATCACATCCACTCATATAAACACTAGAGCCACAACCACTACCACATCCACTACCGTCAACACTAGAGCCACGATCATCATCACATCCACTACAATCAACACTAGAGCCACAACTATCATCACATCCACTACTATCAACACTAGAGCCACAACCATCATCACATCCACTTCCATCAACACTAGAGCCACAACTATCATCACATCCACTTCCATCAACACTAGAGCCACAACTATCATCACATCCACTTCCATCAACACTAGAGCCACAACTACTACCACATCCACTACCATCAACACTAGAGCCACAACCATCATCACATCCACTTCCATCAACACTAGAGCCACAAACATCAATACACATCCACTACCATCAACACTAGAGCCACAACTATCATCACATCCACTACCATCAACACTAGAGCCACAACTATCATCACATCTACTACCATCAACACTAGAGCCACAACTATCATCATCACATCCACAACCATCAACACTAGAGCCACAACTATCATCACATCCCACTACTATCAACACTAGAGCCACAACCATCATCACATCCACTTCCATCAACACTAGAGCCACAACCATCATCACATCCACTTCCATCAACACTAGAGCCACAACCACATCACATCCACTATATAAACACTAGAGCCACAACCATGCACCACATCCACTACTGTCAACACTAGAGCCATAACGATCATCATCACATCCTACTACAATCAACACTAGAGCCACAACTATCATCACATGCACTACCATCAACACTAGAGCCACAACCATCATCACATCCACTTCCATCAACACTAGAGCCACAACCATCATCACATCCACTACCATCAACACTACACTAGAGCCATAACCACTACCATCCACTACCATCAACACTAGAGCCACAACCATCATCACATCCACTTCCATCAACACTAGAGCCACAACCATCATCACATCCACTACCATCAACACTAGAGCCACAACTATCATCACATCTACTACCATCAACACTAGAGCCACAACTATCATCACATCCACTACCATCAACACTAGAGCCACAACTATCATCACATCCACTACCATCAACACTAGAGCCACAACCATCATCACATCCACTTCCATCAACACTAGAGCCACAACCATCATCACATCCACTTCCATCAACACTAGAGCCACAACCATCATCACATCCACTTCCATCAACACTAGAGCCACAACCATAACAGTATCTGCTCCCACAAAAGCACAACTAAAATCATCATCACATCCACTACCATCAACACTAGAGCCACAACCATCATCACATCCACTTCCATCAACACTAGAGCCACAACCACTACCACATCCTTTACCGTCAACACTAGAGCCACGATCATCATCACATCCACTTCCATCAACACTTGAGCCACAACCATAACAGTATCTGCTCCCACAAAAGCACAACTAAAACCATCATCACATCCACTACCATCAACACTAGAGCCACAACCATCATCACATCCACTTCCATCAACACTAGAGCTACAACCACTACCACATCCTTTACCGTCAACACTAGAACCACAACCATCATCACATCCACTTCCATCAACACTAGAGCCACAACCATCATCACATCCACTTCCATCAAGACTAGAGCCACAACTATCATCACATCCACTTCTATCAACACTAGAGCCACAACCACTACCACATCCACTACCGTCAACACTAGAGCCACAACCATCATCACATCCACTACAATCAACACTAGAGCCACAACTATCATCACATCCACTTCTATCAACACTAGAGCCACAACCATCATCACATCCACTTCCATCAACACTAGAGCCACAACCATCATCACATCCACTTCCATCAACACTAGAGCCACAACCATCATCACATCCACTACCATCAACACTTGAGCCACAACCATCATCACATCCACTTCCATCAACACTAGAGCCACAACCATAACAGTATCTGCTCCCACAAAAGCACAACTAAAATCATCATCACATCCACTACCATCAACACTAGAGCCACAACCATCATCACATCCACTTCCATCAACACTAGAGCCACAACCACTACCACATCCTTTACCGTCAACACTAGAGCCACGATCATCATCACATCCACTTCCATCAACACTTGAGCCACAACCATAACAGTATCTGCTCCCACAAAAGCACAACTAACTACCACCATCATCACATCCACTACCATCAACACTAGAGCCACAACCATCATCACATCCACTTCCATCAACACTAGAGCTACAACCACTACCACATCATCCTTTACTGTCAATCAACAGAGGCATCGATCATCATCACATCCACTACAATCAACACTAGAGCCACAACTATCATCACATCCACTACCATCAACACTAGAGCCACAACCATCATCACATCCACTTCCATCAACACTAGAGCCACAACCATCATCTACATCCACACATCCACTAGAGCCATATACCATACCAAACACTAGAGCCACAACCACTACCACATCCACTACCATCAACACTAGAGCCACGATCATCATCACATTCACTACTAAATCAACACTAGAGCCACACAACTATCATCACATGCACTACTATCAACACTAGAGCCAACAACCATCATCACATCCACTTCCATCAACACTAGAGCCACAACCATCATCACATCCACTACCATCAACACTAGAGCCACAACCACTACCACATCCACTACCATCAACACTAGAGCCTCAACCTTCATCACATCCACTACAATCAACACTAGAGCTACAACCACTACCACATCCACTATCATCAACACTAGAGCCACAACTGTAACAGTATCTGCTCCTACAAAAGCACAACTACAACCATCATCACATCCACTACCATCAACACCAAAGTCACAACCACCACCATATCCACTACCAACAACAGAACAGCTACGAACACTTACACTGCCACATCAACTACCATCAGCACTACAGCACAACTAAAAATATCATCACATCCACATCCACCACCACTCAAACATCCATTTCCACCTCTACCAGCGCCATCATGCCCACAGCTTTCACCAAGACTACCGGCCTCTGTACCGCGATGACCATATGCATCCTGATCAATCCCCACACCAACCGCAACAGCAGTGTTGCACCTGTAGCAGTTGTTGTGGAACTTGTTGTAGCTCGACATGGTAGGCAGGGCACCGAAACCCACCCCCAAGGAGTAGAATATCTGTGTGGCAGCTTCACCCCATACCTGTAACCATGAAAAGACCTAGTCATGAATGCATCGAGATACTGCTGATTATTCAGAATCGTTCCACATGGATCCATGTTAACCGTTGTCAATATTATCGAATATATTTTATTTATCCATCAGTTTGTATGATCAATATCTTTTTTAAACTGGTATTGGAAAGAGGAAGAGGCGAAGAGGTGCAGTTATTGTCTTACCCTGGCTTCCCGCAGTTTCTCTGGCTTGGGCACGACATAGAACTGTATACCCTTCTCGTATCCTGGCAACGTCAGGCCCCGGATGAGGAGGATCAGTAAGATGATGAAAGGGAATGTTGCGGTGAAATACACGACCTGGATTGAGGGAGTAAGCGTGTGAGTGAGAGGCATTTTTTGCTAATGAATAAGCCCGCAACATTGTGGGAAGAATATCTAAGAATACACGTTGTACCAATCTGAAGAATCGAACCCAGGTCTTCGGTGCGATCATCCTTTGCTGTCAATCACTAGGTTTCTCAGCTGCCTGTCAGCCTGGGTGAGTGAGGGAAGGGGGAAGGGGGATGTACACATTAAGAGTACGGAAGGGATATCAGAAAGTCATCAATCTTGCCCTGTGAGTTCCGGACTTTCAATTCGACTCTGAAGTACCCTAGTCTTTACCATTGAAATACAGAGAATTTGTCAACAACCAAAGAATAATATGCAACGATCAAACGTCGAGTGACAGAATTTCAGCGCGGGAGGGAGTTTGGAAGGTGACCCTAGTTCTGGTCAACCCAGCTTCAGAACCACCATGGAAAAGATGCCGTCAACCCATTGAGCTTGAGGATGCTTCATTGAGCGAGGAAATTCGACCGTGCTCCTTAAAACAAACATTTGGCCTCAAAATCATGACCTAAGCAAAAGCATAATATATAATATTTTCCATAACATACCTTTGAAAACAACTATAGTCAAAAAACATACATGCTTATTGAAAAACTGTGTCAGTCGATCAAATACACGCAACAGCCATTTCAATTATAAGAACATGATTCAAATGCGACTACTGCACAATTTCGACGATGAAATCAGCATGTGTTTAATGAACCACTTAGTCTATCAAAACTGATTTGTTTGTTAGCCAACCTTCTACAGAACAAGTCTATGAACTGGCCAAGAAAGTTTTCATCACATTGTTCTTGATTGAGGAGAAGATTGACTCTGATCAAATTAATCTGCCTTGCCTATTGATGGGATAGGTGATACCCCCGCCAAAACAATGTCTGTTTAAGCATTATTTCAGTTAAAAAGGCCCCCTTTCCTTCCCTACCCATTCACTCTCAAACAGATAAAAACATGAAAAAAACAAAACTAGAAACAAAACAAGACACAAAATAAAAGTAACAAAACAAAACACAAACTGACAATGTTCCAACCATAAAAGAGACCGTTGAAACGGGTTCGTCTCTAAATGTGGAAAAATATTGTCTTAGAATGCCAGAGAAATAAGATATTACTTGCCCGAACAATTTTATTTTCGATATTGTCTTGAATTATCAATGAACGAATACACCTCCATCAATCAATTTCTTCAGCTATTCTCTCGAGGTAAACAAATGGTTAATCCATTCGCTCTTTTGTGAATATATCGAACGCTGGCTCCAAGGCCATTCACACAAATTATAGATATTGGAAAGTATTTAGTTGAAACACCACTTTGAACAGTGTTCCAGTTACATCACGGCGTTCGGTATAGGCGGGGTATACGGGACTGATAGACAGGGATCATAATCGGGGCAAATCTTGGAGTCGAACCCAAAACAGACTGACCGACTTAGTAGTGGGCGCGAGCTCAACCTTATCTACAAGGGTTAATGTTATTTTCAATCGGCGAGTGTATGGTCAGTACTATAGCAGATCGACAGTGTACCCACCTTCCCTGACGATTTGATGCCTTTCAGGAGACAGAAGAAGATGAGGATCCAGGCCAGGATGAGGGTGATCAGGAGCTTAACGCTGACGTCGCCAAGGTCATGGATTCCGGTCGATTCGTGTAGACGAAGCACAGACCGCCTGAATGGTACATGTACATATGATAAACCCTTTATCCAGATACATACTGTTGTGAACTAAAACCACAATTCGCCAATACAACAAGGGCTGGTAGTGTGAGGTCTTATACGCTGGAACTGAATGTGTAGAGTGGAATGTCATAGTCGTGCACTTTACCGTGCGTTTGAATCCCAAGACTGGCCATGATTGTTACCCTTTGTATCTCAGCGAATGAGGACTTGAGTCATAGTTTGGGGCTTCCCTCCATATAAAACTAACAATCCAAGATGCAAATGAGATACTATTCATAGGAAAGTTAAACTCACTAACTCGCTTTAAAGTAATATAATTTTAAAAGAATAAGTTTTCAATTAATCTTTTACACGTTTACAAAGGCTATGACCGAAATTATGAAAATTTTATACCGTTAAGATTCAAAATTTAGTGAACATATTGGAGAAGGTTTATATCCACTTTGTATACTGAGTCAAAAAAAGAAACTTCACAAAATGTAATTTGAAAAATAATGAATAATTTTTCTCTGATGATACATCTATGTATCCGAAATGGGATCCCTATCTTTCGACTCTAGAAAAACGTTAGCAAAACCAACTCAAACCCATCCATTCGTCGTGCAAATGACGTTAGTGCCAAATCAGGTTTTGCACGTGCAGTCGATCACGTGATCTTCGCATCGAAGTTTTCTTCATATGCACGTGTTTGCATTGGCCTCAAGAATTGAAAAAACACTTCTAAACCACAGTTCTAACGGTACTTGAAATGCCACGATTGTCAAAAGTGCAACTTGAACGTGGTTGGCATGTTGCAAGCGGGAAGATCAGTTATTGACGTCGCAAGAGCAATGGGATGCAGCCGTCGTACTGTGTATGACTTGCGAGGTCGTCTACAACAAACTGGCACCACTTCTGATCGCCCAAGGTCGGGTCGTCCACGTGTGACGTCACGAGCAGAAGACCGTCAAATCGTCCTACGTCACCTACGTGACAGATTTCTGCCGGCTACACGAACCAGGGCTGAGATGTTTAGAGGTCGACTGTCCTCACAGACCATTCGAAATCGGTTGCGGGCTGCCAGTCTCCATTCTCGACGTCCATATCGTGGGCCAATATCGACGCCGTTTCATCAACGTCAACGTCTGCTGTGGGCCCAACCTCACCTCCGATGGACCCAGAGAAACTGGAATCGAGTCGTCTTTAGTGATGAATCCAGGTTTACCCTCAGATTCTGGAGACGACGTCGTGAACGGTATGCCCAATGTTGTGTACAGGAAGTCGACAGATTCGGGGGCGGAAGTTGCATGGTGCGGGGTGCTTTCTGTGGGAACAACCGTTCCCGACTTCTGGTCATCCGTGGAAACCTCACAGCTGCTGCTTACCGCGACAGGTGCTCACCCCTGAACTCGTTCCTTTCATGGCGGCTCATGGCCCAGGTCTACAGTTCCAGCATGATAATGCTCGGCCGCATACCGCGATGTTGACACGAAATTTCCTTCAAAACGCTGGAATCAACGTCATGGACTGGCCATCGAGGTCCCCTGACCTTAATCCAATAGAGCACGTTTGGGATGCACTTGGGAGAAGGCTTCGTGGTCTGAGGAACCAACCTCAGAATTTGCAGGAACTTGGCGCTGCCTTGCAAGAGCAATGGCGCAGAATCCCCAACCACGTGTTCACAAGCATCAGGCAGTCGATGAGGAGACGGTGTTTGGCAGTGGTGAATGCGCGGGGCGGCCATACACGATATTGAACTGAGAAATTTCGCATTTTTATTCTTGTGACTTGACATTCTGTATACCCATGTTTTGGAACGGCGGTGTAACCTAATGGAACTGATTATGGCACTGTCAGTGTATCGAGTACATCCCACAGATCTCAGCAATGAAATAATAATAATTTAACCATCTTACCATCTCTTGTTCTTTTATAGTGTCCTGAAGAAAGAATGTGAAGTTTCCTTTTTGACTCAGTATATAATAGTTTATAGGGTGCTCGCTTACTGTCGGTGACCAAACATTAAGAAATGTTGTTGAAAGACCCTAGAAGAACTTAATCAGGCGGAAATGTGATTCGAACGAACTGACCACAGGGCCCGTCTCACCCCCATCACAAACAGAACCAAAACTCACGTCCAATATTCCTCGCTGGCGGAGGTGTACACAAATTTGCAGGAGTCGAACGTGGAGTCTGACAGCATGGTGGAATTGATGCTGTCAAAGTGAGGCAGCCACGTACTGTTGGAACTGACGATGGAGACACATGTGCTGTTGTATAACTCCTCTGGGAAAAGAAGGTCAAAACGTATTAGAAAAAATTGCTGGTCTTTCAAAGGCATATGGTGATTGATGTCTCGAAGACAGAATGTTCTGTATGTTTAACAATGTTCTATGCTTGACAGGAAGAGAGTCACTTGACGTTAGGAGAACCTGACGGAAATGTATCATATTTGACGTTAAAAAGAATGTAACGGCAAGATGAAATACGACATTTGACGCAAAATGACTCACTCACTCACTCACCGTACATGCTGTGAAGCTTGGCGCTCTCGTTCATCCCAGTGAGGTCTGGAAACGCCTCTGTCCTGCACGTGTGCGTATTCCATGTGTTCGTACACGTTGCCCACGGTACCTCAAGGTCAAGGTTGACAAGGGAGACAAACAAGTAGTACATGGCGTACGTTATGATGATGTTATAATAGACACATATCATAGTGCTGATGGTAACCATGGCGATCCCTATACCTGCGTGAGGAAAGATGAATAAAGCCATAAACATCTGTATTCGAACCATGCTGAAACATTGTGAATCAAAGATTGGTTGCATACGATGAACCATATCTATATGTTTTGGCACATCACTGTCAATACCAAATTTGTGAATACGAGCACGTATGAAGTTAGATTATAATAGTTTTAAAGTTGAATGCAATAAATATCCAACACCATATGTAACAGTCAAAACTACAAAAGGTGGCAAAATATATCTTGAAACATTTCGAGGGACAAACTTGTAAAGTAGGAAGGTCATTACAATGTTATTTTAAAATGTATTATTTGTAAAGCATGATAGGGAAACAAGACTGGTTTCAGGCTAGTGAGTAGTTTACCTGTAAATATGGGGCTGACCTTCCACACTGTGACCGGCCCCTCGGAGGCGAACTGACCAACTGCCAGCTCCATGAAGTACAGCGGCAGGCCAGCGATGACCAGCATGATGAGGTACGGGATCAGGAACGTGGCTGGTGGACACAATATGTTAATGTTTCTTGGTGTTCACCAATTCTAGTACTGGTAATGGTTTGTAAAGGGTTTGTACATCCGTACATCTTATAATGTAACACACTAGAATTCGATGGGACAATTACGTTTCGTCCGTATGTAACACATATTGCTGACTGAGTTTAGTTTTACGCCGCTTTTAGCAATATTCCAGCAATATCACGGCGGGGGACACCAGAAATGGGCTTCACACATTGTGCCCATGTCGGGAATCGAACCCGGGTCTTTGGCGTGACGAGACAACGCTTCAACCACTAGGCTACACCACCGCCCCACACATATTGCTGCGGTCATGGATGCATATATTGTGCCGTTCTCCGTCATGTCTCTGGTCATACACACTAGTTACGGTGAAACGGCGTCGTGTTAAACATAAAATATTGACCTTAGTACGTGATGTACATAACCCTATATATATAAATAAGATCTTTGTTTTCTGAGCATTTTGTATGTTTTACTTCACAGTTTCGTGGTACAAATTCATCTCTAAATTTTATCCCTAATCTTGACATGTGGCACTTCCATTATTGCAGAATCACGCCGTTAAGCTAAAAGGCTTGGACCATGGTATACGTTATAACTGAACAAAAGGTTAATGATGTCCATGTACTGTTGCTGAGGGTAAGACGGTTGACATGATCAGTGAGATTCTAGTCCAATATAACCTGTTCTTAGGTCAAGCTTGATTAAAATCGCACACCTACAAAATGTTTTTTTTCTGATGTCAAAATGTACCACCTCATCCAATCACACCGTATGGTATAGGTGACTGTTTGACAAATGATAAATATAGCTACCGTATACTGCAAGTAACTTGAGAAGAAACATTTTCGATGCTTTGATATTGTAAGTTGTATGCTTCTCTCTCGGGTAATACGGTCTGATGTACGCCTCTTTGTAGCAGTGTCATCCCTCACCTACCGACTCGGGTGACACTGCTACAAAGAGGCGTACATCAGACCGTATTACCCTCGAGAGAAGCATACAACGTATTTATCTTACCGCCATGTTAAATGTACAAAATATCATTTTATTTTATGTTATATGACATGTAAACAAAATGGCGTCTGCCCTCGACTGGATTATTACAATCAGTGAAACATATGCTGACAAGGTTGACACTGCTATAAAAATGGTTAATTATGTTTAAGTTTAAATAAAGCAGTGAAAGTCGGTAAAATAAATATGTAGATAGTGAACTCAAAACAGCTTATCGAACGGATTTCGAACTCCGGACACTGCATGCGTCATATTATGACGTCATACGATTGTGAGCGATACAGCTTCTCGGCGGAGAGTTTGGCGGTTACCGTGGCAGCAGGTAATATTTTTCCAGTTGTCACCCTCCTGGGAGAGGTAACACGGATTCTTGTTAGAGCTTCATTGACCAATGAAATTAAAGTATTTCACATGAAGGTAAGATAATTGACTGTAACACATCTCCCAAACTGCCTTATTTGTACATCAGACCATCACCATATAAAAATAAAGTCATTGCGTCCTGGTGTTTTCTCGCCAAAGGACATTTACCTCCTCCATTCCTGTAGACCACGTAAGGGAACCTCCAGATGTTGCCGAGCCCAACGGAGAAGCCCCACACAGGACAGGATGAAGTCCAGCTTCTTGCTCCAGGTGCCCCGTTCAATCTCCACCTGTGAGGTAAGAACACAATAACACAAGGGTATGTAGGTACATACATGTCAAATACTCATGCTTGTTACTATTTCACAATTGACGTTTTGTTGTGTTTATAGAGTTGATAAGGAAACAACTGGTGTGGACACTTTGTAAATCCTCTGTAATTTGTGATTCCCACTGTGTGCAAGCTCGGGCACAGTATATACCTGCATCATTGTAAATCATATTGAAGTCAATTCTTAAATGATAAAGAACCCAAACGACTCGACAAATTCAAGAACATGGACGTCGAATCACTGTTTTGTTTAAGAGACGACATGAACGACCATGAACGTGAAACTCATCCAGTTCACAAGTTCACAAAGCATCGGCAGCGTTGCGAATATCATAAGACTGTGAAACGATGTATGCAATTCGCAATGTCTGACGTGTCCCTTGATCGCACCTGCCATAGTGTAACATCGACGAAGCTAAAAGATATATTTGTAGAATGGAAGCCATTTGTCCTCCGTTGGACTGTGCTTATTACATTGGTCATTAAAGGATAATTTCGTCTCTCGAGTTTACAATTGACCCCACTAAAATGTATTTTCACAACCACGTGAAAAAACTTTCTTATCATTCCATATGCCTTTGTCGGAGTACATCGAGTATTTTCGTATTTCCGCCCTCTGGTGACTCGGAGGTCTTCCTACCCACAGTTGTCGTTCCACAGAAAAGGGGCTAGAATACGATATATTGAGGTCTCCATTCATTGGTGTCCACATTTAAGGTACAATCCGTGCTCTTTCTATGAAGACTTTAAAGAGCGTTTGATAATAAACGTAGTGTACAAAGATATACCAACGTATCTACCTTCAAAGGTTCAGGACGAATTTAAAAAAAGTGAAAACAATCCTTGAAATGCTGGACTTCCTCACTGATACCATCAATGTAAAATTTGGGGTAAAATACTTAGACAGGAAGTAAGCATTCCCAGGGCACAAAGTGTTTTCCCCTCCCTCATTTCAAATGTGATGTATGCATATGGATCAGAATTTCTGCTAGGGTTGCCAAACAAGGTAATTTGGCAAAGAGGTTTAACTTCAGCTTCAGGTAGGCCTATGTCGAGGATATATAATAGCATTCAATAACAATAAAACATTAGATCTATGCATAAAGATGCGCAAAAAATGCTCTCCACAAGGCAGCATGACAAAAGGGATGAGTTCAGCTTTGAAGTTGTCAACTTTCCTTTCATGCCGAGCAATATCTAGACAGCTATAGGTTACAGCATTCAAGGCCCAGTAAAGCTTTCAAAACTGTTATGGTTGACATTAGGGCTCTCACGAGTACTCGGGTACTCGGGGCCGAGTCGGGTAAAGCAGGACTCGAGTCCAATTGAATGGACTCGAGGACTCGCAGAGAGGAGATACCTCTAAACATCTCATGCTATCAAGATGGATGATCGTGAGAAAAAATCCAATGTCTGGACGCATTTGTATCTTGATTTAGTGGCCAAAATACGAAATGCCGTCTTTGTGGCGTTTCCCTTATTTACGCAAGCATTTGTCCTGTAAGCACCCACAATAAGCACTGTAGACAGAAAACCAGCTCAACAAGCAACGCTGGGGCAGTTTGGTAAGTTTGATAGCAAAAGTCGCAAGCCTGTTGACAGGAAATGGTATGAAGGTATTACGCAAAAAGCAATGCTTATGCGCGTTAAGGATATGCGACCATTAAGTCTTGTTAAAGGGGAGGGTTTCAGGGCTTTCTGTGAACCATTGAACCCAAATTACCAGGTCCCATGTACTGCCGCAATTCACAACTACCTCATAATGTCGTATGAAGTTTGCAAGGAGAACAAAATATCAGTACCCAAAACAGTACCTGCCGTTGCCCTAACTACGGACGCGTGGACAAGCGTAACCACTCACGGCTGTATCACTGTCCCTGCCCACTATACCTATGTTTGAACAACTTGTTTTTACATAGATATTCAGTCGTTCTTATCCAGCGTATTTCAGTGTTACATATTCAACAATCTACACATACATACGCATTCAAAATAACATTCACACTTGGAGACCTATATCCTTAATAGTGAAAATTTTAATCACAATGAATACCATTGACGTGATCTCCGTTCAGCAGAGTTTCGGAAGACTGACTGACTGAGTTTAGTTTTACGCCGCTTTTAGCAATATTCCAGCAATATCACGGCGGGGGACACCATAAATGGGCAGTTTCGGAAGAAGAAATACAGCGTAGTGTTACTCAATAAATGGTTAGTCTTAAGTTTGAAACCAAACCGTTTTCATTATAAGAAGTCTCAAATAAACATCAATCCTGTTTTACATATTCTTTAAGTTCCATAGTCGATCCATCTTTACAAGATACTAGTATCTAATGCAGCACCAATCAATGAACGCTTTATCTATGTATCTTCCAGCTTTGGAACGTGTTTTACCACATTTTAACCGTGATTAAGGTTAATTGATTATGTGACTTATCGTCCAGGTGAATGTTTAAAAGTTGCTAATATGTCATAACTGCAACGACATATTAATATTAGATAATCTTGAAAGCGCAGTCAAACTTAAAACCAAAAGAAAGAGAAGTAGATTGATTGGTTTCCTTTCCCGGACACATCCAATCATATTACAGCATTTACAGGCGTAATAAGGTATCACCGGCCCAGCTCATGAATATTAATCACATAATTGATCGCGTAGAACTGGGTCACAGTGACACTTACGTTGCCTTCACATTCTGTTTGCAAATAAAAGGTAATAGATACTTCCATTGACATTGAATACCAATTGCTTTATTCAGGAACGTTTGTATTTACATATACATGTTGCATTATTCGTAGATTGGAAGTTAGAACAGCTACGTGTATGCTTGAAAGTTGGTTTCAGATAAGCATCCAAATTGTCGGGTACTCGGGTCCGAGTCGGGTCTGACACCTCGAGTACTCGAGTCCCAAATTTGGACTCGTTAGAGCCCTAGTTGACATCGTATCTAATGATGTCAACCCCTTATCTGGTTCAGACATTTTGTTATAGACCGCCGTCATTCAGCACCAATATTGCCGAGTAAGGCGTGAAATAAACATGCAAACAATGCTTTTAGCGGTGTTTCCTTATGATGTGGAAATAGTTATATTGCTTTATTTACGATTCTTGCACAAAAAGCTGTTAAATCAAGGGTACATTATTTTTGGAAACGTTTTATTTCAGACATGTCGAGGAAATTTGCAAAGCAAGGTATCAGTGACAAACAATATATGTCTGTTCTTTGAACACCCGGTACCATCACTATTATATATATAGTGACTGATAAACACATCCGAATCTGAGCTTTCGTTTAATATGGATGGAGTTTTGTCGCGTTTATTTTCACCAAATGGGTAAATGTCTATGTTAAAGCATCCCATCCAAAACCTCCACGCCATTTGTGATTCGTTTTGCGATTACTGCAAGCGACGATCAGACTCTTTGACTCACTTTCATCAGAGGCCCGTGAAGATCCGGGGTAGAATAGGTCTTCAGCAACCCATGCTTGCCACAAAAGGCGACTATGCTTGTCGTAAGAGGCGACTAACGGGATCGGGTGGTCAGGCTCGCTGACTTGGTTGACACATGTCATAGGTTCCCAATTGCGCAGATCGATGCTCATGCTGTTGATCGATTATTTACAGACCACCGCCATATAGCTTGAATATTGCTTAGTGCGGCGTAAAACTAAACTTTCATAAATTTCTCACTCACTCTTAGTTAAATACACACATAAATAAATACATTTCAGATGTGTGCTGAATGCAACTGCAGATATTTAAGACTGGATGAATCATGAATTACTATTCATAAATTGTGAGGACGTGATTAGACTTGTCACAACTGCGGATTGACAAGCAAAGTTGGCTGTAGGCTTTGTCTGTAGAGTTCATCAAGAATGGAATACAACAGGCCCTCCGTGGTATTTACCACTCATTAATGCAACGGCAGGGTGCTCTTTTGTGTCCAGCATTTTTTCACGTGGATTTCAATTTATTGGTCAAGGATCGCTTTCGTTTTAGCACATTTCAATGTTTAAACATATCCCCACTCAATCGCCATATCAGGATCAGTACAAGTACATGACTTTAGGGAAACTGAGCGTGTTTCGATCATGATGTGGTTCGTTGTGAAACGGTAAACATTCACGTACATATGTATTAATGCTGGTAACTGTTAGACCCCATGGAACGATTGTAATTTAAAGATGTGGAGCGATATCTTCAAATGGTGTACACCCAGTAACGAATATATCAGTTACGGACATGTCAAAAGCAATTAAAGAAATTTCAGGTTAAAGTATATTCACGGAAATGGGAAACTGTCCATTTCGTTTGGTTTTTGTTATGATACACACATTTGAAATTCCAAACATGTACAACACGTTCTAACCATGAATCCAGTCTAATCTACATCTAGCTTGCTTGTATATTATTCACAGTGAGGAAATTTGCTGTAATCTATCTAGATCTGTAGTTGCCGTGGATATATTTCCTACACTTTCAATTACTAGACAGTTTAAATCTACCTTGAATTTTAAAGTGTCGGATCCGACATGCTGATAGACAGTTTTACACAAGCTAATGATAAATAAAAAAATCTTACTATGGTATGTTCATTAATGGGCATTGTATATCGGATTTACAAACTGGTTGTTTCTTTTTTATGCTCACATGATACAGGAACATATCTACATATCTAATTTTGTCAGGGTTCTAATTCAGCATGATAGAAATATAATTATGAAATAAAACAGAATTAAATATTATGTTCGCAAAACACTTATATCCTGTATGTAAGGATGCTCACGATGACTGAAAGAGATTATCATGTCATCTTTGAAATGAAGGCCTTTTGCATTCCGATTTTCTGACTAGCAGTCAGATCGTCTGTGTGATTAAACCTCGTTTATGCATTCATATGACCAATCCAAACCTTCATAAATTGCCTCCTTTAAAACATAATCTACAACAGTTACACGCGAGCAGTCATAACTGCTTATTGCCCATCTATGTATTACTGCTATCATGCAAGACCACATAATAATTTAACATAACTTAAAAAGCGTAAGACGACGGTAAGGACTGCGTCAAGTTCATAAAACGTTTGCAAAGCCTCAAACGTTAACCTTACCTCTTTGTCCGAGGCCATCGTGTTGTATGTGAAGGTGAGCTTCAGTAGCGGGTAGGAGACTATGGTAAGGACAGGTATTTCGCAAGATCAAGACGCTTCCACCACGCTGTTGTAAAGTCCAACATACTACACTGGAGGTCTTCCCACTAGAACACTACCACGGCAATATGGGTCTACACAGCCAGAACAGTCTCATCACGTCCCAGCTCGGGCACGTGACGGGGCATATTAAGTTATGCTTTGTTGCTCAGGTACAGTGATGTCGGCAAGGGAATATGGAGATGATGTGGAGACAATGCGATTTATATTTTATAAAATCAAATAAACCAAATCTATTCCATAATCAGTCACTTCTGGCTCAGAGTTCATAGCTATGAAGTGAATTCCTGAAATCGGCATGCACAAGTTATGAAATCAGTAAATGAACACACAAAATTCAATGAATATTATATAGGTTATACTGAAGCGCAACCTTTGCGGTGCACAATACAGGTGTCCGTTCTTGGGCCCATTCTCTTTCACTCTATATGAAGTATTTCGGCAATATCATTCGGCATCATGTTGTGATGTACGAGTCATATGCTGATGACACCCAGCTGTTGCGTTCCACTAAACCGGACTCACTTCCAGCCGATATGTCTATAATCGAAGACTGTATCCCTTGACTCCAAAGCATGGATGATACAAAGGAAGCTGAGATTAAATGACAGTAAGACTGAGGTTTTGCTGTGTGGATCACCCAGTAGCACTGCTAAGGTGGATGTGTCTTCGTTGGTAGTGGGTAATGAGAAAGTTCCTTTCAGTGATTCCGTGAAAGACCTTGGTGTTTTTCTAGACTCAAATTTATCCATGGAAACACACGTAAACTCTGTTTGTAAGTCATGCTATTTTCATCTCAGAAATATTGCTTCCATTCGTGATATTCTGACATTTGATGCAGCTCACCACCTAGTTCGTTCACTTGTTCTCTCACGTTTGGATTATTGCTGCAGTCTTCTTGTAAATATCCGCCAAGATCTATTGTCCAAGCTCCAGAGGATTCAGAACTCTGCGGCGCTGATTGATTTGCCGAGTCAACAAGCGCAGTCACATTACACCATTGCTGATACGCTTACATTGGCTGCCCACGAAACAGAGAATAGAATATAAAATCCTCACTCGCTTTCAAGTGCCTCCATGACAAAGCTCCAATCTATCTGAAAGATCTCCTCCAGTGAATATGTCCCACCACGGCTTTTAAGATCAAGTTCTAATTGTCAGTTGAATGTCCCCAAGGTCAGATTAAAGTCATATGGACATAGACAGTTCTCTTACACAGCTCCCTTTCTGGAACTCACTGCCTCTTCACATCCGACAAGCCGCGTCCGTGGAATCTTTCCAGTCCCAACTGAAAACTTTCCTTTAAAACAAGCTTATGAACTTTAATCCTTTCTTCAGATCACTCTATCTTTTTAGCGCCTAGAGAAATTGCCTTTGCAGTTTGATTTGTGCGCTATACAAGAACACTTATTATTATTATTATTAGGTGTACATGTGTTTTGAGACAGATCCAAGTAGACAACACTTGAGTGAGATCATATAAGGTTTAGAATCGCCATCGTCTATCTCATATATGGGTACATGGGTATCACAGAAAGTGTAAAATGTCGAAACTTCTCGAACGGTCAAGTTTGAACAGCAACGGTGGACAGCACCAATCGCACTTCCTGGTAAACTCTGGTCATTACAGCGTTTGACATTTTACCAGCTCATCAATCATTTGCTGCTACAGACAATTACTACAAATACAATTACATGTACCATGTAACAATGTGATTCTGGAAAGTGCGTGAGTGGACTTTCACTAACCGCGGTGGCTGAGCGAGTTAAGAGGCTGACTTTGTGTGCTTGTGATTAGGTGCCTGACTCTGAGGGTGTGGGTTCGAATCCCGGATGGGACTCAACCCAACAAAAGTACTAGAATCTGTACTTTACTACGAAAGTGTAATCCTAAATGTAACATATGTTACATTTGGTCACTTCCTAAATCGCATTGTTTATTCATGACTTGTCAGGTTCATGTGTGAAGAAAGGCCAATATTATAATCAAGCAGGCCTTGGACATTTACGACTGTCGTGTATCCCACACGAACTGGTGTAGTAGAGACGAACTCAGAAACATAATTAGGGCAAACCTGACGTCAACGGGTTTAATCATTCGCTCTCTCTTTGGGTGAGATAAAGCAAAATTAAGCTAGACTTTAGATAATATATGATAACGACGATCCGCAATAGCATATAGAGGACACATGCGACGCCTTAGATGACTGGACACCTGATAAAAAGTCAAAACACACGAGGGCGATTACTATATAAGTCAAACATCTTCACTGGTGGGGCGGTGGGGTAGCCTAGTGGTTAAAGCGTTGGCTCGTCACGTCGAAGACCCGGGCTCGAATCCCCAATGGGTACAATGTGTGAAGCCCATTTCTGGTGTCCCCCGTCGCGATGTTGCTGGAATATTCCTAAAAGCGGCGTAAAACCACACTCAGTCAGTCAGTCAGTCTTCACTGGTCAGTACACAACACCACTGACAGTAAACTAAAAGGATGATGTACCTGTGTGTATTCATAGTCTTTCAGTCTTATTTACAAAGAAATGATCAAATATTACTTATGCATGCATGGAATATTATAGACTATAACGTGTGACATATTTGTCAGCCAGAAATGTGTAATGTATTTATTATGAATAGATGTTAACTTTGTTTTGTATGTTTTAAAATGTGTTTAGCACAACATGTGCGTGTAATGTACAGTTACCCCCTAATATCGTAAGATGATTATCCACTAAGTCTCCGGATATATATAGTTTACACGCTGAATACGATATTTAAAGTGAAGGTAAATCGGACTATATAATTAACAATAAAACATCTGTATAATCTGTATATCTAAGGTTCTACAGCTACAGTGATTGTTACTTAGATACTGAAAGTATTATACTTTGATGCGCACGATGGCAAACCAATGATGAACGTCAAATCTATTGGCGTAATACATAAATTAATGCAATATATGATCATGTGAATTTCAATATCTCTTATATCCTTGTTCTATCATTGCGTGCCAAATAATGTCATGTCTAATGTTATTGGTACTGTCGCGCATCGTGTATATATGTAAATTTGTCAAATAACGCGTTGTGATAATCCAAGAATTGTACATACTGATTTAACGTGCAAACGCAGTCATAGGTGATTCTGTGCGTGTTGTGATTCATGAATGCCCTCCGTAAACATAAACGTATACTGTAAATCATGAAATTAATGCGTCACGATTTTAATGCGAGTGCGAGGGTCTAGTCTAAAATGCGTCACGAAATTAATGCGAGCTCAGGAATCTGAATCTTTGATGTTGTTCATTTTCTTTTTACACTTGCTATTTACCAAATAACCTGACTTGAGCTGACGATGCTTTAATTACGCTATGTTTTGAGTACTTGCTCTACCTATATTCCCTAACTCCCCGGTCAACTTTTCTCTTTAAGCATTAAAACCACTGGCATTACCGATTCACGTTGTTATTCTATATTTCATGTATTCGTACAATCAATCGGCATGTCATTCCTTTTGTCATAGCGACTAATTCAGGACGACCAAAGTCTATATTTCTAAAGACCAAAAACTTTATAGCCAAGCAATGCTGGACTTAATTGTAATTATTTATATGACGCTAATCTGCATTCTTAATACTTTGACTTGTCAGACATCCCTGTACCACTAATTATTTACTGTATATGACATTTATAGCCTAATTGGTCATCCAATTGGCCGTGTCTGCCATTAGATGGACTGGTCCAAGACAATGCTATTGTTTCTTTACATGTCTATTGATGTCTCTTCGTCTGTCCATTGTTGTCTATAACTATATGCTCACATCTATACCGTCACTAGTCCGGTATCCCGACTGCCTGTGGCGACGACCGCCAGCAGGATAATGCCGCTCGTAGGAAACGCCCTGGGGTTGAGCTTGAGCTCCGCTCACCTCATTTATGTCTGAGCCGACAACCCAGCTCATTACTGTCTTGTGTATTTGTTTGTCATTTCTTGTATAGCCAACTAAAGACGTTTGGACATATTCTTTGTCTTCGTCAACGTATTATTTCGAGTTAGTTCCCCTGTCGACACATCTACGCGTTGACACCTTTTTGTCCCATGTGTCGCCGCGAATATAGCTGCTGAAGCGACGTTAAGCAGCATTTACTCACTCACTCACCCTTTCTCTTGCACTGTATCCACAAGACCACTGACGGTACAATGCTTTACTGTAATCGTTCCTCTTCTTATTCGGGAACAATCAGGCCAAGGGACGTGGATATAATGTTTGATTATACATCCAGATCATACATCACTTTTCATGAAGTTGACACGATATGACTGAAATACTAATTGCAATTTAATGAAATTCGCTCACCACATGGTTTTGTATTCCGACATCCTCAGATTCCTTACTTACTCACTTCGAATATTTCTTTTTGTAAAAATATACGCAGTTAAAAATAAACACAGTTACACTTCATTACATAAATAGCGTTTTATTTTAGACATTGTAATTGTATTACATTTTTTTCTGTTACGATCCAATTTAAGTTCATTACACTGTTTTAACAATAGTAGGTCAGGAATATATTGTTATCTTATGTAAACAGTGGTGTGGAAGTTGCTATAATAGACGATTTGGCGGGTTAAACTTGGTGTGGAAGTTTCTAGAACGGCATATATACACATCTGGCAATATACAGAACATTCTGGAGAGTTTTTAAAAATACAATGGGGCCAGAACATCAAATCCAGTGATTGTGTGAAGATCCGGGTAGGAATTGGTCTTCAGTAACCCATGCTTGTCGTAAGAGGCGAGTAACGGGATCGGGTGGCCAGGCTCGCTGACTTGGTTGACATATGTCATCGTATCCCAATTGTGTAGATCGATGCTCATGCTGTTGATCACTGGATTGCCTGGTCGAGACTCGATTATTTA